GAACCTAGCATTATTCTGTAAAATATAGTTAAAAAAATTATCCAATAGTCCATATTTCTTGAAAAATCTAAGATAAACTTATATAGTTTGACCTAAAATCTTAGTAATTGTTTAAAATAAATATAAATATGAGGGCTAATAGTATTTAATGTCCGCTGTATTGCAACATTGAAAAATTCTAAAATTCGTTTATAAATATATTTATGAAAATGTATTAAGAAAAGCTATTTAATACTCTGATAGATTTATATTTCAATATTAGCTTTAACTTGTAATTTTAAATCGTTCGCTAAAGTAAATAAATATTTAAAATATATTTACCCAAATTGAAATAAATAAGTTAAAGATATTGTAGTTAGTTGATATACAAAATAACCCATGCAGGATTCTATATTTAAATATATTTCGTAGTTAACATTTTAGAAAAAAATAAAATAACATTAAAATTATTTTAAAATTATACGGCCTACTATTATAAATTATGTTAAAAAAACATTTCTGGATGCTATCAAGATTAAAGTTTAATCATAATAGTGGAATTTTTAATCATTTGAAGTGATTAATGTATTCATAATAAAATCTGGAGTTAAATAAAATCGAGGCATTGACGATGTGCAGAAATATAACTCATCATTAATTTTGAATATATAAATAGCGAATTTGGGAATTTTATTGTTGATATTACTGTTAGTGTCTACAAAATATAAAACGTATCTAAACTGAAATTTTAATTTAACATGCATACAAAACATATTTTTACCTATTTGCTTTAAAAAATCCCAAAAAATTCAAAAATAACGATTATGATAATTGTCACTTTTCAATACTACACCTTCATTGAAATTTTAATTTAACATATTTACAAAACATTAGTTTACCTATTTACTTTAAAATAACTCAAAAAGGTTTAAAAATAACGATTATGACAATTGTCACTTTTCTATGGTACACCTTCTTTGAAATTTTAATTTAACATATTTACAAAACATATTTTTACTTATTTACTTTACAAAAACTCAAAAAAGTTAAAAAATAACGATTATGACAATTGTCATTTTTCTCTGGTACACCTTCATTGAAATTTTAATTTAACATGTTTACAAAACATATTTTTACCTATTTACTTTAAAAAAACTCAAAAATGTCCAAAAAAACGATTATGACAATTGTCACTTTCAATAGTACACCATCAATGAATTTTTAATTTAACATATTTACAAAACATATTTTTACCTATTTACTTTAAAAAAATTCAAAAAAGTTTAAAAATAACGATTATCTCAATTGTAACTTTCCTATGGTACATCTACTTGAAATTTTAATTTACATGTTTACAATCTATATTTTTACCCATTTGCTTAAAAAAATTTAAAAACTTTATATATAACGATTATGACATTTGTCAAATTCCTATGATATATCTTCTTGAAATTTTAATTTAACATGTTTACAATCTATATTTTTACCCATTTGCTTTTCAATAAATTTTAACTTTTCTTAGGCATTAAGACATAGACATCATCTGAGCAGGAACAATCTATTTCTTTAAAATAACGATTATGACTATTATCACTTATCTAAGGTATATCTTCATAAAATTTTAATTTAGCAAATTATAAATATATATTTTTACCCATTTGCGACAAAAAAATTTAAAATTTTTTATAAATATCGATTATGACGATTGCCATTTATCTATATCTTTACTGAACCATTATTTAAAGATTTTAGCAATCTCTATTTTTACCCATTTATGTCAAAAAATTTAAATTTTTTTTTAATTATAACGGTTATGACAATTATCATTTATCTAGAGCACATCTTCACTGATGTATTATTTAAATATGTTAGCAATCTATATTTTCATCCATTTGAGTAAAAAAACTTTAAAAATTACGATTATGACAATTGTCACTTTCTCGTTGAACATCTTCATGAAATTTTCATTTAACATGTTTACAATTTATATTTTACCCATTTTCGTTAAAAAATCTTAAAAAAGTTCAAAAATAACGATTATGACAATTGTCACATTAAAATATTATCCTTAAAAAGATTCATATAAAATAAAATAAAAAAGTTTCATATAAACATTTAAGAATAAATTATTTAGAAAAAATCACCTCTTTTTATACATAAAAATATAGATAATTATACAAAATATTAACCCTTCACTACAAAGGTGGGGTAAATAATAACCCAGGGCTTTTATTATCTTGATAATTAAAAATCCTGAAGCTAATTTGACTTAGATTTTATAATAGTTTAATATTTTGTTATGGGGAACATATATACCAAATTTCAAGATAATTAATTTGATATTTTTTAAAAATACTTGCAATTTGTTGAGCTTGGGGTAGTATAGGTCCCACCTTTGTACTTACGAAATTTTTTTTTATTAATTAATATTATTGTATATACAAACTAATATATAAAATTGAAAAAAAATTTTTAGTTTCAAATTTTTCATTGTTGTATTGTGAATCAAAATTTTAAAATTTTTTACTATTTTTTTTTTCTAGTTGAGATAAATACTATAAAAGATACATATGGAAAATTTAATATAATAAAGTTCTGGAAGTCCAATTATTGTCTATTTAATATTTGATATTTATAAAATTTTATATAGATAGTGAGTCAAGTGATGATTAGAGATATAAATTTAGTTTATTTGCATTTAGAAAAAATACAACTGTAGTTTCTTACATACCAAAAAGTATAAGAATATAGTGTTGCTTTCTACACTCAATATGATAGCGAAATTGATGCATCAACTAGTGAGTTTAAAAAACCAGAAATTAAAACGTTTTATAATTTAACAAAAACTGGAGTTGATAGAGTTGATCAACTATCCTCCATATATTATATATCCAGAAAATCCAGTAGATGGCTATTGACCATTTTTTATACTATAGTAAATATATCAATAATAAATGCACAGATAGTTTATAAAGGTAATAATTTATTGAATATAAAAATCTATAAAATTATTAGGAAACTGATAACTCCATATATGATCAGCAGATCTGAGAACCCTAGTATATGTAGATTATTACGTAACAACATTATCTAAAATAGTTAAAAAAGTTAATTCTTTTTTAAATATAAATACTAATTTAATATTAGATATATTCAATAATAAAGGATTATACATTAATAGTTGTATTTCCTTTTATCTCATAATAAATTACTTTATATTCCTTTAATATAATAATATTAAAAATAATCATAATTACATTTAAAATTTTAATAATATTAAATCCGCAGGTTGGCGTATTATTTTAAATTTTTCATAACAAAATAATTTTTTTTAAAAATTAGATGGGGTAGAACCCTTCTGACAACAAACCTGGTTAACAATATATATATTTTCAAATAATCAATAATTTTCAAAATATGTTTTATCCTTGTTTAAATTTTATTTTAAAAATGTTACATATGACAATTGTGAGTTTTCTATGTTATATCTAAAATAGTTTAAAAAAAGTTAAATAATAACGATTATAATTATCTAACTTTTCTATGGTACATCTTTATTTTATTGGAATTTTAATTTAACATGTTTACAATAAATATCTTAACCATTTTGCATCAAAATATTTAAAAAAAGTTATATAAGGATTATGATAATTGTCACTTTTTTATGGTACATCTTTATGGGAATTTTAATTTGACATTTTTACAATAAATATATTTGCCAAAAATTTTATAAAAGTAAAAATAACAATTATGACAATTGTCAATTTTTAGTGTTACGTACATCTTCATTAAAATTTTAATATAACATTTTTTTAATTATATTAATTTTTACACATATGTGTCAAAAAAGTTTAAAAAAATATAAAGATAATTACAATTGTTACTTTGTTATGGTACATCTTTATTGAATTTTTATTTTAACTTAACATGCTAACTAACCCACTCATTTCAAATATCATAAAAATAAAAATTTACAATTTAAAATAAATATTTTTAAATAAAAAATCTTCAAAGGTTCGATCTTCAAAGATCAGTTACTCAAAAATTTTAAAAATAAAAGACCGTCAAATTTTAAGATCTTCCTTGCCCAAAAATCTTCAAAGAAGATCTTGCCCAGAAATCTCCAAAGATGTTGCCCAAAAATCTTTAAAAAAGATCTTGCCCAAAAATCTTCAAAGAAGATCTTTTGTACAGTCTGATAAATTCATTCTAGTAATATAAAATATTAAAAATGTCTGAAAACAGAGAAAGATGTTATTATTCTCAATAATAATGTTAAATAGAATTTAAACTGAAATCGTTATTATTTATTGAACCTAAACTAAAACGCTAAAATATATGTCACTGTACAAAGGTTTGTGAAACTGTATTCTAAATATTTTAAATAATCAATTTTCTCACTGAATAAGTTATCAGCAATTATATTTTTTGGATATCGCTATCTGACGATGCCACATATCCAAATTTAAAGCATTAGAAGTGTTCTCAGCTATAAACAATCTACCTCCATAGAATATTTTTTTAAGGAAAAGTAATAAAAGAAATTTTTTTAAATGTGCCTTTCTTTATAATATTATAATGTGCTCGTAAACGAAAAAATCTTGAAAAATATATTGATTGTATAAGGCCCTATTTTAGAGAATAGAGAAGCCTTTTTGAAAAGGGTGCTTTTCTTTATAATATTCCAATAAACCTGTAAACAAGATACGTATATAATTAACGCTTCTTCAAATTTTCTATAATTTTATCGTTCGTGATAAGAATTTTGATCATTTTCAGAGTTGGAAAATCTGACCTTTTTTCCAATTTTTCGTGTGGATGAAGGAATCAAAGTCTTACATCCCAACCCAAGTCCCACTTAAAAAAAATTACCATCGCGCAAGCGCAAACAACCTAATAATTAATTTTATTTATTTTTTTTAAGATTATTTTCCTCTTTATAGACTGAGAAAACAAAGCCACTCTTAAAATTCACAAAAAAATGTGGAGAAATATAAGAGATAGCTAATTGTATAAATTTATTCGGGGCGATTTAAATGGGGAAAGTGAGATGGCTTATAACGTAATTGTTTGAGTAAAATATTTAATTTAAATAAACATATGATAAATAAAATTACACATTTTGTATGATATAAACAAAGAAGATTATAAAAGACGGTAAGGTTAATAAACCATATATGAATTATGTGTACTAAATATTATGACAAAGATGAAAAAAATATCATAAAATGGATGTAACGGTTATCACATATGATTATTATGCTCGTCTATGTACCAAGTTTGAAGATGTTTTTTATCGTATGATAATACCTTTTTCGAGGTAAAAAGTGAAGCCGATGCACTTGCCTCACTTCTGGCGCATAATTCGGAACACAGAATTTGAACGTAAGAGTCTATCAAAAATTTGACGCTTTCGGAAATGGGGTAATTGTCGGAAGAGTTTTGATCAGCTGTGGTTTCTACCCTTGACAAAAGTTTTTGTATCTGAGCGAAAAAAATATATAATGATTGAAAATTAAAATTATATGGCAAGCACCGGTTAAATGCAAATTGGCAGGTTTTTGATCTAAAAATCCTGCCCGCACAGAGTAACAGTTATGAAAAAAAATGTTAGGTAGGGATACCTGAACCCATTCAGCCTGAGCTATTTCGCCAGGATCCTTCTGAATATTGGCGGAGGTGGCTTTCAAAACACAAACAAAATACAAATCCGAGCAACCGAACAGGTACGTGTGACTGTGCCGAAAACTCAAAATTCCTTGGAAGTTGGTCAATATCCCGGTTTCTTCTTTGACCTCTCTACTGGCCGTAACGCTGAGTTCTTCGCCTTATTTTTTAATGAAATTATATATGGTTATCTCCAGTTGTTAAAGTATCACAAAAAAATGTGTTAATCTGTATCTAGATACATATGAAAAGTACCTCCTACTCTGGCAATCGGTAAATCTTTATATGTAAGCATTATGTTAAACATGTCTACTGAATTCAGTGCCGTAACTTAGAAATGGGCTATCGAAGCTCAGTTAAAAGATCTTGAAGCAAAAAAAATAACTGACTGTAACGGAGCACTCGGCACACTGAAAATGTCTGGTGCATTTAAAAGTTACAATCTCCAGTAAGGAGGCTTGTGGTGAATATGTAGTTAACAGGCTGATAAAACGGAGAGTAACCAAGAAACCGCTTAATTTTGCTCTAACAAGTATATTTATGGGGGAAAACAGATTCTAAATTTTAAAAAAAATCTGTATTGCCAAAAATGTACTTGGGTAAATGCAGACAACCTATCCCAGTCAATTTTGTCAGGGCAATATACTATAGGCATTGCCCTTTTTTTAGCATCATTTTTATTACATATTACCACGAGGGTTATTAAAATAATAGACAAACTTCACTCACCCCCCCCCCCCCCTCTCCAATAAATAAAATAATACCGGGTTCGGCCAAGCCCCCGGGAAACTTCCAGAAATTTCCTCGCCTCTTCTCTCGTATCATTAAAAGCCTAGATTTCAAGATGGCGTCTCTCGCGTCAGTAAGACTACTTTTCTTGGTGCTATGCAATCGGACTTCGTCTTCGGAATGCATAACCAAGCCGGCTACCCCTATCGTGGTAAACGCGTAAGGGGGCAGAGAAGTCTTGTGTGTTGAAATAGCAACATCATTTTCATTTCCGCCTTCGCTCTTCCTCCCATTTTGTTCACCTTCCAAACAAGATTCGTCCGATAAAATTTTGGTCATCATTAGATACTCTTGATCGTTCCCAGCTCCACGATTCCTATCGTTATCATTTTCTTCGTGATCATACCTTTTACCCACGGCGTGATGAAAGTTGAAACCCTTCTCGACCAATATAGGTATCCAACGGGTATCCGCTATACCCACCTTGAACCAAATGGCCCTCAATTTCTTTCCGTCGGGGTCAAGATTATTTTTAGGCTTGTCGAGATTCGCATTTTTAGATTGAGTGGTCCAATCGACGATGCTACGATCTAGCAGAGATGCGATGTCCTGGGAAGAAAGGTGAGGAAACGAAAATTTACGCGTGTCTACCGTTATGCAATCGTAAGGATCAGGTTGAAAGGAGCCCATGCGGATATCGTCGGACATAAAGCGATGGGGCATAGAGGTTATTATGCGATTCGTAAATTTAGGGAAAATCCCGCGAGAATTGGATATGGAGCGACAAATTAGGGACCGTTGACTAAAAATTTTGTTTGTCGGAATCAAAGCTGAGAGAAGGAATGGATATAACGTGGATGGTAATGCGATACAGATTTTACTGGATGGGCTGACAACTGAAGCTGCAACCTTGAATGAATGTTGGAACGTTGTTAAGAATGAATTTCCGATCCGTTAAATCAAGGGTATCTCTTATTTTGCTCAAATAAAAAAAACGATATTCAAAGGCAAAAACATTTTATTGAATTTGGTGATCATTGCTTTGTTTGAGAAGGTCTTTGTATTTCGCCAATTTTTCCCTTCTAGATTGAGCCCTCTTAGCGTTTTTGGCCTCTTTTTCTATTTCGCTTCGGTTTCGCAGAGCAACGATACTATTTTCCCCGTTGTAATGTGTGTCCAATCTTTCTTGCAATAAAAATCTCGCTATTTTTCTGTTAGTGTCTAGAGCTCTATCTTGTTGGCACTTTAAAAAAAATATATATTAGAATTATTTGCGTTCATTAAAAAATAATGATAATATTATAATTTAAAATGCCTTATAAAGGTTGTTCAGATTTTGAATTCGAAATTTATAAATGATTAATCTTAAAACATAAAAATTTCAACGAAACTTATCATAATTTAAATATGACTCATTGCTTTGAATAAAGAAAGAAATTAAATTTGGTAAAAATCCTTGGAATAATTTTAATCTAAACGATCAATAAAATTCAATAATCGTAAATATATATTTGAAAATTAGGACTAGATTACATCAATTCAAAATTACTAATTAAAGGTCAAGCCTTATCTTAAATTTAATATATGTTATATGAGAAATACGAAAATTATTATTTATATTTTTTTTAAAAAATATATATAGGTAAATAAGTTTTATTTTAAAAAAATATCAATATATAAGCGCTAGCTACAGGATGGCAAATGGGGTCTGACCCAAAGGTCCATAAGGGGCAAGTTTATAGCCCACCCGTCCATTTATTTAAAAATTATGTTTAAACCGCCCTAGCGAGGTTTAAAAAGTATTTTACTAGTCGGTTTGGTTTTTTTTATTTTATTTGATTAATAAATAAAAGTCAGTTCAAGCCCCCCCCCCTACCAGAAAATATTTCAACTTAACCGGCCTGCCCCCTATTTAACCCGCCCGCTTGTCCAATGTTCAATTTTAAATTACAATATTATTTGTTATTTACTACGATTTATTTAAATTGTTCTGTCAACTACCTTTTATGATTCATTGTTGTATGGACACCTATTAGCGAAATTTAAAGAGGCTTAGGCCAAAGACTGGCAGGCCCGGCCCGGATTTAGGGGCGGGCCGGGTCTGAAATTATTATTTTTTAAAAATCCGGGCTGGACCTTAAGGTATAAAACCCGGGCCGGGCCGTAAAAAATTTTTGAAAAATAAATCCGGGCCAGGCCGTGCAAATGGTACTTATGCAGGTTACTGGCTTAGGCAATATTTTTATGACCTAAAATATTGATAAAAAAAATCAAATCGAGCTTTTTAACAGAGACTAGAGGTATTAGATTTAAACAGCCTGTGACGTAGTAGCCATGATTTATCCAAGGGGGAAGAGGTTTCAAATTTTAAAGAAGATTTAAAACCCCAAAACGCTTATTTGTCCGGGCTTCGTTCGTATTTCGCCTATGAAAAATTCTGATTGGTTAATATTTATTATTTTCCCGATCATAATACCATTCCCCGTTCAAGTTGACTGAACAATAGGAAACATTAGATCTATGCCACTGTTTCTTGCGTTGGTGTCTTAACCAGTATAGTAGCCCGTGCAAAGGGAAACAGTTGTCAATAATAAAATTTTGGCCAGATTAAAACGCGTGATTAAAAAGTATCTATTTCGAAAAATTTTAACCAAATGTTTACGACTACGTAGTTGCCCTATTTCTAAACAACCAGCTGTTTAGCTGTGTATATAACTTCCTTCAAAACAGCCTAAAAAGAAAAAGAAGCTATTTATATTAACCGCGCATTTGCCATATTTGTACCCGAAAAAAATAAATATAAATAACACTAATTCTAAATTTGTTTAGGTTGATCAGGCACGTAACCAATGGTAGGGGAGGATTCCTCTCCCATCGCTAATTTGTCTGTTTCCGGTAATTCCCCCCTGGCACCCCTCCCATCTCCCTTTCAAAAATGTACACAATATATCACTATATAAAAAAAAGAATTAAAAATAATCATTTAAAATATTTAGATTTTTTAAGAAAAACCTAAAATTATTTTTATAAAAAATTTATTATATCCCAAAGACCTACAACAAGGAGGAACCTAAAGATTTCTAATAAAATTCATAAGGGAAAAAATTCAACCAATAGTGCCCCCCCCCCTTAGCAAAATCTTGGATATGCCTATGAGCCTGGGGTAACCTGAAATAATAAGGCGAACAAGGACAAGGCCTTAGTACTGGTTTTGTATATTATTTTGATTCGAAGATTCAAGTTAAAAATTAAAGATATGGAAGCACTAAAGCAATTCCAATAATATATTACATATATGTTAGAGTCAATTAGTTTTTTTTCTGGCAATGTGTTATTTTTTCAACTTTAAATCATTTTTTTCGAGGGCGTATTTTTTTAAATTTAAAAATCTGATTTTTATCGAAAATGTATTCCAACATATTTAGAATACCCACCCTTATTAATTTCAGCCATAGTTTTATTGCCGACAAACTGTTTCCCTTTACACGGGCTACTATACTGGTTAAGACGCTAACGCAAGAAACAGTGGCATAGATCTAGTGTTTCCTATTGCTCAGTCAACTTTAACGGGGGATGGTATTATTAATATAATTTATATTAATTATTTCCATTGATATTTCATAATATATTATAAATGAATCAAAAGTTATCGGTAAAATTATCTACAATTCATAAGATAGGTATTCTAAACATTGCTGGAAATCATTTCCGGTAAAATTTAAAAAAAAACGCGCTCAAAAAACGATTTTAAGTTGGAAAAAATGACACAATGCCGGAAAAAACACATCGACGCTGCTAACGTATATAAAAAAAATAATTAATACAAAATAAATATCTCATCACCATTAAAAAGAAAATCTACTTTTTTTTTTATCGTATTCTATGTTACCTTTAGTGTTGTTAAACGGCTCAATTTGAGTCGATTCATAAAAACGGCATATTTAGTATTTTATCCAGAAAAGTATTATGCAAGCCTAATGATTTTGCTCATAGATGGCACATGGGATTGAACATCTATTGGCGAAATCTCGACACTTAGGCAATATTTTCCTGGCTATAATGTTGAGTTAGCCGTTTTTAAAAATCGGCTCAAATCAAGCCGTTCAACAACACTAGTTACCTCCTTAAAATACTTACATTTAAATCAAATCGTAAAATCATTTTTTTTTTCAATCTTGAAATTTAAATTTTATTTTTCAAAACATCAAAAACTTTATGTAAAAAAATTGCCATTCTTTTATTTTGTTGTAACCTATTTAATTAACTATATAAATATCAAAAATTCAATGTATTATTAAGGAAGATATTAGAAACAGATCGATTTAATATACATAACTATCAAAATTAATATTTATCTGTTTAAATATTAATATCAATGTAATAATAAATAGTTTTCTATTGGTCACAACGGAAATAAGTCTATGTGCGCCTGGAATGGGTCTGAATCTGAAGAGACGTTTTCAGGAGACTGGATACAACATTTGCGCATTTGGTATGGGTCTGAAGATGAAGAGATAATCGTGAAAAGAATGATTCATTTTTTATCGATATTAAAAAAATTTTATAAGCACATTTTTGTTTTACCATCAAAACCGTTTTTAAAGCCTCTTAAATTAATTTTATTTTTAATAAACAATGATTAGTATTTAAAGTAATACATGACTGAACTATGGTAATATAATAATTAAATTAAAATCAGTATTGGTTATTATTATTATTATTATATTATTCCATTTGATATAGTGTATACCTTTCTTATATATGAATAAGTCAAGGGTATAACTACGAAAAAAGAGCTATATTCTATTTTTAGGTTGGTCCCTCCCCATTAACCATATATAGTGCAATTTATACCTTTTTAAGTTAAGGGTATAATTACGAAAAAAAAACTATTATGGATAACAATTACTAGCACAATTATAGTGTAAATTAAACCCTTCCTATATAGTCAAGGATATAATTACGAAAAAAAACTATATTGTATTGCTAGTTTGAGCCCTCCCAAATCCCCTCCCAATTTATTTGTATACTAATTATTATTGTTATTTAACTCTATCTCCCTAACACTTTCTTCTCAATTTTATATAACATCTGTGTCACATATACCCTGTAACATAAATGTTTAATTCTTGTTATTATATTTTATCACCTACTTTCCACAGTTTTTATGATTGTTTTCCCAAAATGAATTCCCATTACCATTATTCCCCCCAATGCTCAATTTTTTTAAATTTTTTGGGAAGTGATGCATGTTAAATATTTGTAACAAATTGTGTTCTATATTAACTTTTATCTTTATTATTACTCAATTTATATTACTTTTAAATTGTTAATGTGAGTTTGCAGCTATGTTTTATAATCTTAATTGATTTACATTTTATAAAAAAAATATCTATTTTTTTATATATAAAGCTTATAAAAAATTACATTTAAATCAGTTATTTTTACATCATAAAAATTTGTTATTTAATAAAAGAAATCACTTATTTTTACTTAATAAAAATTTGTTATGTAATAAAAAAAAGTCAGTTTTATTTTTATTTATCGGATTTTTTTCATATTATTTTATCAAATAAAGAAACTTTTTTCACTTGATTAATTAAATTCTTATATTTAAATTGAGCTAAATTCCTACTAATATCCATTCTACAAGCAATTCCTCACAATACAGACTACCAATATTTGATTCATCATTAGATTGTATGGGATAAATACAAGAGCAAATTTATCCACATAAAACAATATTACTAGTGTTGTTAAACGGCTCGTTTTGAGCCGATTTTTTAAAACGGCTAACTCTATTTTTTAGGCAGAAAAATATTACCTAAGCCTCGAGATTTCGATAATATATGCCTAGACCGTTGTTCCTTCTACGATCAAAATCTTCAGGCTTGCGTAATATTTTTCTGGATTAAATATTGAGTTAGCCGTTTTTAAAAATCGGCTCAAAACGAGCCGTTTAACAACACTAAATATTACCCAAGCAAAAATTTTTTAAAAATCAGGACTCATGGGAAACTGAGGTAGACTCTTCAATTTTAATGTTACTATGAATAGGATTGGGAATGATACCACATCACCATCAAGCCAATTCCAATATTCAATAGGAACAATAAACAAATTAAACCTTTTAGATATGGAAGAAAAAAATCACAGAATTAAATTTTATAACTTAATGATCAACATAAAAATTAAAATTACAGCAGATTTATTTTTGATATGATAGTTAGTAGTTAGTATATAGCATAATTCTCACCTAAAATTTTCCATTATACCTTTTGCTTTGAATAATTATAATAATTTTCAAATATAACATAACAATTTATATATTTATTATTGTAAATTTTTATAAAATTAATTTCACTGATAAAAATTTTTATTCAATACTTTTACATTATTTACAATATTTATACAGATAACAATTTATATTACCCATCATATGTATAAACATGTAAATTTATATTATGACAAAATAAACATTTAAAATTAGAAATAATCATTTAAGCATAGTAAATTAATTTTAAAGTTCAACTTATTCCAAAGCTAAGCTTGATTTTGTTGATATTGGGTTTATCAAAGATAAACAATTAATTTATCAAATAAAAATTTAGCTTATTGTAATCATTTAAAATAAAATGAATAAAAATATTGTTTTCATTAAAATAAACACTTGATAATTAAAATGTGAACTTCATTTTAAATGCATGGATAACCAAATTAATTAGTTCACTAAATTCATAACTAATTTAGTTGAGTTAGGACAATGTACAGTAATAAATTTAGACAAATAAAATTTAGATCTATGGATAGGCTATAATTTATACATTCTCAATAATCAAAACTAAATTTTGTGAATTAATTTAAATATGTTCCAATACCTAATATCTTAAATGTATGAATAATTATAATATATTTCATTAATTGTTATCAAAAATAAATATTTAAATATGCAAAGTAAAATGACCTTCACAAATATTCCAGTTGGTAAATGCTTTAATAAAACACAATTAATGGATTTGTTAATTTTTGATCCTCCGGGACCACACCCTTTGATAAAATGTTCTTCTAATTCTTCCTCCTTAACTGGGGGATATAAATTTTTTAAATTAGGTCTAGATGAAGCGAATTTTAGAAACGATATAATTGGTATCAGCTGTCTTTGCAGAAAAATCATATGGTCACATTTATACCCAATAGGAAAATCTCTTGTAAAGTCATATTATATTATTTTAAATATTTAATATTATTTTAAATTTGACTTTATCACTCAAGATAGTTTCCCGATAGTATATGCACTCTAAAGATTTAAAAATGGGTTTCTCCTAATAATATGTAAAAGTCATTCAATTAGTATATAAATTTATTAAAATATTTTTTTATCCTGCGTTATCAATTTGGTCATTAGAAAATGACATTAATACTATAGACTGCCGATCGTAATGCTAAAATCAAATTTGAAGTGGCAAAAATTGAAGTGACTGGTGGCCATTTTGTGTTTGTATTTTTTACGAAAGACGCATATGATAATTTCATAAATTTCAGGTATATTTTTATTATGTTTATATTTATAATATATATATATATTCTAATTAAACACCAATTTATTATTTACCTTATATATTATAGTATATATGAATCAAATAAAGGTCACTACTGAATATTTTACTTGAAATATTTCTGCTCTTTATTAACATTTGCAATTTATTATTTAATAATGAATATCTTTTATAAGAATTCAATTTAATATTTTTTAATTACTAAAAGATTTAAAATTGTAGTATATTGCTGAGGAAGTAAAATTTCCTTTCATAAGTATGATATCTCAATTAAATAAAGAAATATATTAAGAAATGGATAGTTTATATTTATTAAGTATTAACATAATTATAAGCAAAAATAAAACATAGAAGACATGTGACATAAATTATAAAAATACAAAAGAAATCTAGAATACATTTTTATAAAAATAAATATTCATGTATTTTTGTATTAATCTGGCTTCTAGGAAACCTGCATGTTATAATTTATTATTCATTATTTTGTTACTTTTAGAAGATGCTTTGGAAAATTAAAAATTGATGGTATTGCTCCCTCTCTTAATTGAACATGATTTGTAACAGATGGAATAAATGAATCTGGTGTAAAATGCTTTGAACATAATTTACTATATTTTGTTGCATAGAAGTTCTCTCTCTTCACAGCATGGGTCCACTTTTGTAATAATATTTTATCTTTCATAGGAAATCTGCCATAAATAATTTTTATCACTAAAGTATAAAAATCAATAATGTAAATATATATCATGAAAAATACAAATAATATATATTATGTTATATTTACATCAAATATTATGTTATATTTACATCAAATAAAATAATTGTATTATTATAATTAATATGTATCGCGAAAAGAAAATATTAATCTTATAAATCAATAATAAATTCAAATTATATATATGTTATATTTATGTCTAATAAAATTAATTCATTATAACCAATAAAGTCATTAGAAATTTTCAGATAATTTGTTATTCACCTATAAATATTTAAGTTAAATAACATATTTTTATATACTTGGTTTATTGCCCTTGAAAAAGTACGTTTTTGCCTGATATTTAATTGTAATTTTTGATTTACTTTATTACTAAAATGATGCATTCTTATGTGCAGGTATCTAAAAATAAATTTTTATTAAAATCAAGTAAATATTATATATACCTTTTTATTATAAGATTTATTATAATTTGATAATGACTTAACCCTGCCTCTTGATCAAACATATGATCTTGCAGGTCACTAAGGATATTTATTCCTAATATTTTTGACAATATTAGACATTCTATTTTTTTAACAGCATGTCTTTTGGTTATTTCATCTACTTTTTCAAAAGCCCTGAATGAGCTCTCTGTTATTTTGCATAAATTTGACACGCTTTGGGATGGTATTATCAATCCACCATAATTCTTAATTTTTATTATGTATAATTATTGTCGTTTGCGGAATTATCAATTAGGGAATGTAAACAGATATCACATCTAACTTTCTTTTCTTCATATTCAGTAGTGACCTTTATTTGATTCATATATACTATAATATATAAGGTAAATAATAAATTGGTGTTAAATTAGAATATTATATATATTATAAATATAAACATAATAAAAATATACCTGAAATTTATGAAATTATCATATGGTTCTTTCGTAAAAGATACAAACACAAAATGGCCACCAGTCACTTCAATTTTTGCCAATTCAAATATATTAATCGGCAGTCTATAGTATTAATGTCATTGTTAGAAACTTAGCTTAAATTAATTTGTACCAATGGTTTTTTAAAGTATAGGCTGTTAAAAGATTAACGTAAGGCACGAAATTATTTAAATTTCGTGAGAGTAAGTTTTGATAATTTTAAATCTTATTTATTACAAAATTTATTATATAATATGTAATAATAATTAAAGTAAAAATGAATATCATAACTAAAATATCAAAATAAAATTTATTCTAACTAAATTTATAGGAAAATATTAAAATGAGCTCTGTAAAGCCATATATAAATTGCAATATCAACGAGAAATATAAAATGTTTAAAATTAAAATAAGAAACTTTATGATTGAACGAATTATAAAATGATTATATACTAATATTGAGTAAATCAATATATAGGCCATTTTAATAGCTACAAAATTAAAGTCATTACATCAAGATATACATAAAAAAATAGTAATTTAGTTTTGACTAAAGAAAAAATTATGTTGTAATTCTAAAAATTAATATTTCCTTTCCTTGTGTCTACATTAACATTATACAAAAATATGAATAAAATGGAAAATTTTTTAGTCAATGAGATTGAAATCAAACGGTAATTTATTTTATTATTATATATAATTATTTATTAAATTCAAAATTATTAGTGAGTTAGAATTAATAAGTATTTTTAATAATATTTTAATCATTAATAAATATCTAATATTTTAAATATTTTGCATTTTTACTTCCATTTTGTAGAACAGAAGAAATATACAATATTTAAATAAGGCTAAGCATGAAAAAAAGTAATGTGTCGTCGCGATAATTTAATTGATCAATCAAGTTTATAATTGCTGCTAGTTGCATCAATAAATTATTTTCCAATAGCTCACTACTTTGTAGAAATTTACAAAAACAAACGTAGATAGAGCCGGTACTAGCTAGATGTTTTGGGTGCTAAAGTGCCCCCTTTTCAATTAGAACCAATTTTATATTTTTATAAAATTAGCACCCATTTAAAAAAATGCATTAATATTTTTTTTAAATACTTATATAATTTAATGGCTTATAATATTATTTTAGGCGCGACATAAAATATTTAGTAATTATAATTTATACTTCTGACCAAGCAAAAACAAAAATAGTGTAAAATTATATTTTTATGTTGATTTTTTATAAACAAAATGAAAATTAGATGAAGAACTTGGTAAATATAATTTTCTAATTTTTTGACAAGAATAAAAAATAAAAGCTTTTAGATTGAGGTTATTCAATGATTTTATATTGATCATTGGGGTAAAGCCTTTGAGTTAGATTTTATTCGTTTTTAGATATTATATTTATGTTTTATACTATATTTATGCTATATATGAAATTTCTTAGATATTATATTTGCGTTAGATATTATTTTGATTAGCGAATACTAGTAGATTATAATGAAGTAGAAGCTATATTTTTTAAATTTCATACTAATATTTTTATTTACTATTTGAAAATAATTTACAATGTGTTAATCATCCAAATCACTAAATAACATCGTTTTCCCAAAAATTTAAACAGATATGACTCAATAATAATTACACAATATCGATATAAAAAAAATCAATTATTTATTTGTAAAAAGATATCCATAAAGGAGATATATAAATGCCTTAATTGAAACTGGGAGAAAATAGATATAGATATCAAAACGGTACAAGAAAATTGGTAAATTATGGTCTTGGCGGACTTTTGATAAAATTTTAATGGGCCTGATCAAATCTAATTTTTAAAAAATTTTTAACGGATGGTCGAATTTTTTAAGAAGTCAAGTTTATGAGGTCAATATTTCTTTATTAAAATCAATATTTCTTAGGGTTCCCAATAAATGAACAACAATTTTATCCAACAACTCCGAATTTAATTGAAAAAAGAATGAAGAAATGAAAAGAAAGAAAGATTTTACCTAACAAAATCATCTAAGGTTTATATATAAATTAATCAGAGAAATAAATAGCTAAAATTATTTAATTTTAAGTACTTTTAATCTAGATCGAGTAACGGAAAAAATTCTAAGCATTTCCAAATATTTTCTTAAAATTTATTACCTAATTGCTTAATCCTAACTCCTTTGGCTCATTGTTTTAATTATTTTAGGGTAGTTTAACGCAAGGTTCTGAACCCGAATTAGGGTTCAGAAATTTAAAATTGTTTGGTTGGGCATTTTGAAAAGACAGACCAAACAGGGACCGATTCATGGGCAACCTATCGAACTCAGGATAATATGGACTCGGGGCGAATTCGAACCTCTTTTAGAAAATGGGTTTCAATTCCGTTCTTGGGGTCCTGAACCCTGGTTTAACGTAGTCCAATCATAGATTATTATTTTTACAACGTGATAATTTTAAATATTTTTTTTTTTGAAATCGTATAAAAAATTATTCAGGTTACAAAAGTAAAAACTAAAAGAAAAGGGCATTTTCCTTCACAGTTATGCAAGTATATAACTATACGAAATTTTTATTCAGTAAAAAAAACAAGCGTAAAATTATTAGATATTTTTAAAATATAAAAACTCAGTCATAATCCATTCCTTCAATCATTTACAAGTACTAACCGATTTCCCTTACCTTTTATCTGATCGTCTTCTGGGATTTTCCTCGATAAGTCCTGAACTATGATTTGCTTTTAAACCATCAAACCTTCTGACGTAGTTAGCTACAAAATAATTTTTATACGACAAATTAACCTCATTAGATTCTCCATTAGCTAATATATATATGTGAGAAAAAAGCTTTTTAAATATAAATTTTCAAAACTCTTGCGAAATGACAATCTTTAAACACCTAACACGCATATCAAAGTTCATTTTTAATTCGTAAATGTTTAAACATATCAAAAATAAAATTTTACATATTTGAAGGTACTCTACTTGTTTAAAAAATTACTTTACTGATAATATGCAGTT